TTTATGTATGCATAATTTCAAAGCCTCATGTTACTTTACTTATTAAAAAATATTTTAACACTAGAACAAATTCATCGTTGCCCATTTCATTATCAAGGGTTTATTGAGGTAGACAGTTTATATAACTTACCATGTCATGTAATAAAAAAATTAACAACAAATTATTTCCCCCAGATGGGGCAGAGGGCGTCCACAGTACGCCGCCATCCCGTTTGGTTTTTAGCTTCGCCTTTCATGTCGCTTCAAGTGGCCACGTTTCCGCTTTCCTTGCGGGGCCAGTCTAGGGTTTGCCTTGGTATGTGTTCCGAGTTCCTTCAGAGCGTGTGGCCGATGTACTTCCACTTGCGACGTTTGATTTGCAGGTCAATTGGTATCTCAGAGCAGTGTTCCTACAGATTCATATTAGAGACTTTCTCGGGCCAGTAAATACCGATAATACGACGAAGACACCGATTGACGAAGACCAGAAGCCGATGCGAGATGTCCTTAGTGACCTTCCACGTCTCGCATCCATATAGCAGGACGGTTTTGACACTGGACCAAAATATTTTGAGTTTAACTCTCCTGGTCAGTTTCCGCGACTGCCGTACAGGACGGAGTTGCGGGAAGGTTTCTCTTGATTTTGCGATTCTTGACGCGATATCCTCTTCGGTCCCTCATTTCAACAGTAGTGAGGCCTAATTCAAAAATAATAACGAATATGTTTAGAATTCTTCATATTTACTTATTAGTAAATGTGTCTCTCTCTTTCGTGTTTACGAAACAATATTACTGAGAAAATTCGTGTAAATATGAGCAACACGTATTAAGATAAACTGAGAATAATGAGTAGGAGATACTTATTACATAACTAAATTGATAACTTTAGTTAAATAAAAAAATAAAACTTTATAAATAGACTTTATGAAATAAAACTTTCAATTAACATTTTAATTTCTTAAAACAAAGATACTTTCTCGAGAGGAAAAAAATTAAAAAAAAATGTAATTTCCAAGTGCTCCGCTTTCTTTATTTATATTATTTTTATTTAAAGTAGAAATAAAAAAATGTCTCAAGTCTTGGACGCATTGTAGTTTATAAATTAATTAGGACTGCTACAAACTACGGTTAACAATGATGAATATAATATTGTTAGAAGACTGATGTTTAATTACATAAAAAAGAGTAGAAAAATATCAACATTTAGTGAATGCTATTATTCCGAAACAACACAATCTGTTACGTATGAACTAGTTTTAAAATTTCACATATTTGTCGAGAAGGTTTTCCTTAACGTATGAAAAACAAGACGCGTATATTAAAAACCAATTCTAATGATGATAAAGAAGTATGTGGGAGTCTAAAGCCCGCATAAACTAAAAAAGGCGCCGGCTTTTTGTTAGATGATTGATGTCAAACGCTGAAGGCTTGAAGGGAGAATAGGGTTTCTGTGGATTTAGACTCATGATTATGTTACACAATATTTGTTTATATGAAATGTAACAAAGGATTTTGTTTTGGAATTTATATTTGACATACATATAGGATCAACCATCTGTAACACAGTTAAATATAAAAGACTACATTTAAAAAAAATATTAATTATAAAATAAGTGATTAAACATTGTTATTTAAAAAGACAAGAACATTTAATTTTGTGATATTTCTTGTTTGGTTTCCAAAAAATGGAAAAGTATCTATGGTAAGTTATAAAGTAATCAATCTTTGATTATGTAAAAATAATATTCAGAAAACCTCTAACAGAACGGAGGAAACAAGCAAGGTGTCAAGATTGATTGGTTGAAGGAGGCCCAACTTGTTGAAAGTTCTCGACGCGCTGAACTAACTTGAAATTTTTATATCACGACTGCCTCAATTAGAGCTCTCCTTATATTATTTTTGTAACAATATAAGTATAAATACGTATCTGAGTTAGTTTTACATATTTTTTATCTTTTTCATAATAGCATAATAATACGAATATTGGATATTTATCATCTCTTGTATCTTCTCTTCTATCTTTTAACCGAAGTTTTCAGTGCACAGAAATCAAAATCGATATATTTTAATACGCTTATATTAATTAACTTCGTACATATTTACTTGAAATCCTAATTATTGGTGAATCTCTCATGTAAACGGTGAATAGTTACTGGAAAGTAACCAAAAAATATTAGAAGTATATAAAGTTAAGCTTTTGGTTCTTCAAATCCGTTGGCTGTAATAAAATCATGCATGTGTATTATTTAAGCCATTTCCATGTTACCCCAATGCTCAATTTCTGTTTTAATTGAAATAACCCAAAGCATACGAGAAACGACTTAGGAGAAACTAGATTGCCGATCTTGAATGGCATACATATGTAATGTCTATTTAATTGGATCTTTGAAAAGCTGATACATAGTCTGATGTAGTCAAGGCGATCTCAGTTCATCGTATGTAACCGATATCTAAATATATATATAATTCAAAATCTGCTTTAGTCGAGAAACATCTCTTCAAACTACATCAATACTAATTGTTGTTGGGTATATTAGATTTTCCTTATATTTCCCTTCATATTATCAAAATAAAGTTTGACCTGTATATCATGTAAGAGATTTGCTTTTCTTAAATTTATCGTGATTTTTAAAATTATTTACGTTGTTAATTTTAATTCCGTTAACTGAAAGTCTTTGTTGGTGCTTTATTCTGTTTAGTTCAATTATTAAATGTGGTTGGTAGTGAATATATGCTTTTCTATTGTGTGACTTATTTCTGATACGAGAAGCACTATATTTGCACGTACATATTAACCTCACAGTCATAAATTATGTTTACAAGCGGGAATACGCTCCTACGTTAGTTGTTTTCAACCGACTTGAAGAGAAGAAAGAAGAATTAAGCGGAGGTTTTCAAGTCAATTGTAATTTTTTTATGTTCGAATATTATTATAGCAGAGAAGTAGCGGATGTGTCACCATCCTTGATTAAGAAAGAGGGGGAGGAAAAAGTGGGGAAGGGTGGGAAAATGGAAAGGGTAGGAAAGGATGGGAAAAGGAAAAGGGCAACCGGCTCTTTCACTCATCGGACGAAACGCAGCAATTAAAGGCTACTTCAAACCGATCTTCTGTGAGAGGGTGGTACTGCCCTGGTCGAGCCAGCCCATATTGGAGATGCAGTAATTTGAACACAGCTAGGCTCTACCACCTAATGAAAAGATAAAATCTTTTTATTTCTAATGAAAAGATAAAATCTTTTTATTAGTAACAGCTTTAAGGAACTTATCGTAAATTTAACTTTTGGGAGAAAAATAAAAAAAAAATATTTCTAAATAATTGCTTTAAAATTAAAACAGATATTTAATTATTTGTTTTGTTTTGTTTTGATCTTTAGGAATGCGAAACATTATTTTTAGATGAAATTCAGTTATTTTAATATTAAATATCTCTCATTATGAGTCACCTAAAATTAAATTATTTATTAGAAAATTTCAGAGACAGGTATCATAAACGATGGATAAACACTTCAATAACTAAATAAGGTAAATAAAAAATATACATACCTACTGTTAAGTAAAATGAGAAGTACATATAAATATATTTGGCTCATGAAACTAAACTATTACAATTTGCAAGTGGACTAAATGAAAAGCTTAATCCACCTATTTTAGTAATTTTCCCAAACAATATAGCCGGTGGATTCATTGAAATCTCGGAGACAAAGGCCATTACCTAGTTGTGGTTTTGAAATTAAGTAGTTGCATAGTTATCTTAGTTTTGAATTCTTGAATTTTTATTAAAATTTAATAAGCTTTCAGTAAAAGTTCTTTTCGGGCGAAGTTATAGAAATTATATGAATACAATTATAGACATAAGAATGTAGACATTTCCATAATAAGGAGATGGTTTAAAATTTATTAAATTTTATTTGGCTGAAACTACATTAGAACTTTTCCTGCATTAGTTCCTTATACAACTATTTTGTTAAGTCAACTCATGGTGCACTTTAATTACGCTGGTGACTTTCATTTTGTAATAAATAAATAATAATCTATTTTTAATGTTCTTGAAATTATATAGAATTATTCCATAGCAATAAATTCTTGTGATTTTTCTTAGAAAAAATACGAAATAAATTATAATTATGAAGCTAAAAATGTCAATGTTAAATATAAACTAATTATTTTTATTTTAAGAATTACACCCACATTACTTAGTTACACTTAAATGAAGAAAAGCTAAAAGTTGCATTAGCATATCTAAGATTTAAATATATTTATTTATTTGTTCATATTTTTTGGACAAGGTCTTGGTCTTGGAATGGTAATAAAAAAAAGATCTTTTGACTATTACCCTTTTAATAAAGTGTATATTTTGTATATTATTTTAGATCGCACTTTTTGTACGCTTCATTCAATCTTAAAATGTAATAGTTTAAAAGCAAAGAACGGATCAAAACAGACCATTGGTAAATTAATTAAAAAAGTTATTTACTATTTAAACATTTATAATTATAGGTGTATATTTGAAGATGATTAAAAAAACTGTGATTTAAATAAATTATGTACATCAAATATTTTTACTTTTTTCAACATTCTCTCTTTCTTGATCTCTTCAAAACGTCATTTTTTTATCACTTAGAATATGAAACCTCTAAAAATGACTCTTTGGTACATCCAGATTACTTATGATTTTGAACGCCATTTAGAGCCCTAAATAATTTTCGGACGAGTTATCGTAGCTAGGAGTAACGATTATTTAATTGTGTATGTATACAAAAAATACGGAGGTGAGCCTTAAAATATCTTTCAGAATTTATTTTTAATCAGGTGAAATTGAAGGCATTTTTTTAAAATAAATTTTTTGAATCCATACATACATAGTAATAAAAAACAGACTCAGTATTAAAGAAGGCAATTTGGGTGAATTCCATTATTACTGTTCATATTCATATGTCAGTAATAAGTTAATACCATTCGTATATCCCTGGAATTAGTAAGCTAGGTAACTATTATACAAAGCATTAATATTGTTATTCCAGACATAATAAAGCGGGCTACTCCCGCAACGACGACGCAGATTATGGACCACAGCTTCCTAATGGCCATTAAATGTGGACGCAAAGCCGTAAAGTCCATCACGCCACATGAAACGTAAATAAACAATAATGTTACAATGACGATCTCCATACATTTATTAGATAAAACAATAGTACTTAAAGTATAGAGCATAAAATAAAAACTACTAAGTTTTGGTAGGAATAGATCACATTACGTGGAATTAATAAATATTAGATTTATGTAACAGAATTTTATACTGAAAGCGCTAGTAAAATCATATTTTACGTCACAAAAAATGTCACTATCATAAATGGTAATAGGCTTAGGTTTGAAAATTTTCATATTATTTATTTTCGGTTTAATATTTTTTGAATATCATATTTAATCGACAATGATTCAAACACTATTTATTGATTTAGTTCCTTTCTCGAATTCGATTCCCAGTTGGGTAAATATAATGTTTGACGAGAACTTACGTCCGAGAGAAAAGGAAGTCTCAAGATAATAAACAAAAGGCTGCATCAGGGCAGAAAAGTTGTTTAAACTTCAAAGCTCTTCGGAAGGATTACGTAACATATCATGATAAATATATGACATTGCTATTGTACCTATTTGTAAACTTAAGACAATATCATTAGAAGCTATAAAATATTTGCTATTATTTCTCAAGAGTTTAATAGTTATCCATATATCTGGATAATTATTATTATACTTAACTATTTTAGTAGCTACTCCATCTTAAATATTTCTGTAATGTAAAAGATTTTTTTGTTGCAAGTTTTGCAGTCACTAAGTATTGAAAGTAAATGAACTGTATTTAGAACATTAAAATTCTCAGAGTATATAAAAGCTATAATGGTCCGCTGTTGGGTAAACTATAATAATGAGATATTAAAAAAATTACTTCTTAGGAAACAATTAATGATATTTATTCCTTTAGTCTTCGACCAGTGTGTGTTGCCAGTGCTAACATACGGCACTGAGACGTGGCCGCTCACGATGGGCCTTATTAGAAAGCTCAAGGTCACTCAAAGGGCAATGGAGAGGGCTATGCTCGGAGTTTCACTGCGTGATCAAATCAGGAATGAGGAGATCCGCAGAAGAACGGGAGTCACCGACATAGCCCGAAGAATTGCAGTACTTAAGTGGCAGTGGCCAGGGCACATCGCTCGCAGAACCGATGCCCGATGGGGCCAACGGGTTCTTGAGTGGCGACCACGAGCCGGAAGACGCAGTGTGGGTAGGCCTCCAACAAGGTGGTCCGACGACCTGGTGAAGGTCGCGGGAATCCGCTGGATGCGGGTGGCACAAGACCGGTCGTCGTGGAGATCCTTGGGGGAGGCCTATGTCCTGCAGTGGACGTCTTTTGGCTGATGATGATGATGATGATTCCTGAACTTCTGTCTATTATAAATATTTTGTATAAAAATCAGCGATTTATTACAGCTACTAATTCAGATGATCCTGCTAAAAAGATTATTTGTTCTGAGATCTACGTAGATAACTAAAATTGTGGGATTTAAATAAAGACATTGTGCAGGTAAAAAACTCCATTGTTATGAATTTTAGTCATTTAAATGAAAGACGACATATGTCGTCTGCCCGTGATCACGGTTGCTGACAAGTAGCCGAAACGTCGGGAGAATGTAGTTCGTAATGAAAAATAAAAAACGTGAAGTAAAATCCGAAAATATTAGTTTCATTTAAATAAGTATTCGCGAAAATCTTAGATCTCATTATGAATTTTAGTCATTTTGTCAAATCCATAGGGATTGCAATTCTGTAAAACAGTTTCATTGCATTTCTAATTGTTAGCCATTTATTGACTTTACTAGGACTTATACTGAGTATTAAAATCGAGTCTGGATTTTGTAATCAAATAAAATTTATATTCATTCTATAAACGGAATTAGGAACAATTGCCAATAAGGTGTAATAGTGCATTATTTTTCTGAAATATGCGGGCACATACTAATATATTCTGTTCAAGCAAAAGGAGATCGTAAAAAAACATTTTTCTTTGTTGTCCCTTTTGCTATTAAGTTCTTTGATGAAATTGTTTAGATACCACTTTTCTCATTAGAAGCTTCATCACTAAGCGCTTATTAAAATTAAGTACCAAGCAAGAATATATAAAATAAGTAAATATACATTAGAATTATGCTAACGAGAATTTTCGTGTAAGCATTTTAAGAGTTAGAATTTATAACAAAATATACGAGTTCTTACAGTAATATACGAGTATCATATCATCATTAATGTAATAAGCAAATATTCACAAAGGAAATGTATGAAAAAATCTCTAACGACCTAATTTTCATTAGATAAACAAATATTTTTTTAATGTGTAGATTTCATGTCAGGACTTTTATAAGATATATTAAAAGGTCACCTCTGTGTTATGTTTTATCTCTGTCTCGAGTGCATCTATCTTTAAATAATACAAATCTTTCACATTGACGTCTTTCTTGATGGTCGGTATGATGTTGAGATAAGATCACAGTACTTATTGATAAATTGCATTCGTTTATATTTTGTATGACTATTTATAGAGCGGTTTACATAACTATTTTGTGTTATTGATGCAATTACGTTCATTTTTGAGATGATAGAGCCTAGCTGTAGTCAAGTTACTACAGCTTGGACATGGACTGGCTCGACCGGGGAAGTACCACCCTTTCATAGAGGATCGGCGTGAAGTAGCCTTTAGTGGCTGCGTTTTGTCCGATGAGTGAACGAAGATTACCTTTTCCCTATTCCCACCCTTTCCTGCTATTTCCCTATTCCCACTCCTCCCTTTTCCTCAACAAGCAAGGCATCCACAGCATCTATGTTGCGGATGTTCATGCACGACGGTCACTACTGTCCATCAAGTTGGCCGTCTGCTCGTTTGCCACCTTTGACATCATGAAATAAACTTAAAAATTAATACATATTGGATTTTACATACATATTTAAATAGTTAAGAATAATTACACTGGTCAACAAAATTTTGACTTTTTAATGCCACACAGACTTTTTTGTTATTTTTTACTTAAATAGGTAATTATAAAACCAAATAAATAATTTAAAAAGAGTTGCTGGCCAAGAATTTTTTTCTATTGAGTAATTAAAAAATTAAGAAAAAACAAGGATCTAGTAAATAAAAAATTTTTATTTTCTAAACGACTGAATGTAATCTAAGATTTTCTCGAGTATTTAGCTTCTGGTTGGTCTCTTTTAATTGTCCAGCAATAAGCTGGTAACTTTTCTAATATAGAATGGGCCCAAATGGGTCCCATTTGCCTTGGTACAGCTTTTCTATATTAGAAATTTCCCGATGGAGTCTCTTACCATGCTCGTCACTGACAGCCCCTGAATTGTCTGTTTAACATCCAGGTGAGAGTCTCAAAAATTTAATTTAAGAGAAATGTTGCGACCCAATCCTTGATATGACAATAGTAGCTCTTTACCCAACTCTCACTACTTAACCAATACTCTCGTATTATGATGTAGCAAATTCCTTTGTTTTAGACGGGATCGTAGTACATAGTTCTGACTACTTTTTGATAAATTTAAATCCTGAACCAAATCATTTAGGTCTCTTTGAGTTATCTAATGTGGCTTGTTTACAATTTCTACAAACTCAAAGTCATCCTCTTCAACACATTGGCCTGAATTTGACGGTTGTGAATGGTCGCTCTCAACAGATGAATTTATAACTGGTATTTGTTTTGTCATTTTTATACAATAAGAGACTGGTCTTATAGCCGAAGATAAGTTGGGGTAAATAACTGTGTTTTTTTTTTTTGTAATTTATATCGTTTATATCAGTGACACAAAAATAACAATCTGAAACGTGATCTCGCCGTTCAGTCCATATCGTGGGTACAGCAAATGACATAGGGCGTACACTTCTCTTCCCGTCAATAAAATTTTTCACACACGTTATGCAGCAGACATGAGGAGCCCAGGATTTGTCTTGATGAGCGACAAAAAAACAAAACATTGTTGATAACACTCCAACGCAAGATTCGTCAAAATTCGTCATTGTTTTTTAAATGTTAATTCCCCGCAGACGTAACAAAAAGAGTTATAATCATTATTACGCTTCCTCGACATGTTCACAGAGTTAATGATTCATAAAAAAATGTTTAAATTTAACGACAAATATTTTTATAAATTTACTTGTAAGCGTATCTGTTAAAAACAGCCCTAGTACTAGTTATGAGAATTACCGTATCACAACAAATATAAGGCTAATTGACTTATGAAAACTATGATTTAAGAATGAGGATAGATTGATAAATAAAATTTGGTATCAAAGTTCATGTGGCAAAACCAGTGTTGACCAGTGAATTATTATTAGATACTAAAAAATAATGTACTATGGATTTATGTTTAAAAAGTTTTTTTTTCTGGAAATAAATACATTTAAAACAAATTCCGTAAACATATTCAATTTGATAAAAAAATAAATAAATTATAAACTCAATTTCCCAATAGATTTTTAAAGGAGTGAGGTGAAATATTATTTAAAATATATATTAAGTAGGTCCTACTCTAGGTATATATCAGTAACCTTTTATACTGTATCTAACGCTTATTTAAAACCATCTATAAATAAACACAATGCAGGTGTTTAACATTCAGATAAAATAATTTGAACTAGTTGTCATCTTCAATTCCTATCAGAGTCTATCAAACGATGATGGATCTCTGTGAAATGGTTCAACTGTAAAAGATTATAAGATTTTTAAGAAATACAAATACTATGATTCCCCACGAAGTACCATTAATTAAGTAGTAACTTTAACAAGTTTTACTACATGAAATTGTTAAAAGTTTCTTTATAAAATGGGGAAATAATTTTGTAAAATGTAAGCTAATTAAAAATAAATTTTAGAATTAAAACTGTAAAAGTCTTAAGTTCACATAAATACGTACAGAACCAACTGATATAATTTTCAACTTTATTATGATCACACTAATTTTGTACATATTTTTCTTATACAAGTAATATAAGGAAAGATACCAGAAAAATATGGTCCATTTTTCTAGTATGTTACTACAAGGTTTAGTCGTGTGCGCTTACGCGCTATTTATTTTAGTAAAATGTCAAGAATCTCGTATTGTTAACATAGATCAAGGACCCGTGAGAGGATATAAGTCTGAAGATGGAAATTACTTCGGATTTTTTGGCATACCGTTTGCCACCGCACCTAAAGGGGTTCATAGGTTTAAGGTGGGTTTTAAAATATTTCATAATATTTCATATTTTATATTTATATAAAATTTAATATTTCATATTTTATATATTTTTGACTCACTGATGCCGTTCCTATACATAGACCGTATACAAAGAATATATGTGGTATTGTTGTGATAATATATTTAATGAATGATTAATTTATTAATTTTAATGAGGCATCTATTTAATATGATTTAAAAAATAAACCATTCTTGAATATATGTATTTACGAGATAATGTAAATCACGATAATTATTCTCTTATTTGTCAAGCTAGGTTTATTTTTTTAAACTGAGAACATCCGTGTTGTATGTAGTTTAGAAATATAATATAAGCAATACAATTTACAAAAAAAATAATTGTGCCTTGAGATATTTATTTTTAAATTATATTTTTAAGATTTTTTTTTAAACAGGCACCTCTTCCTCCACCAAGTTGGAAAGAACCACTGGAAGCAATTAATTTAAACGTAGCATGCCCACAGAACGACATAGACATTCAGAGCACATTTCTTAAAAAGCAAGAAGATTGTTTGATCACAAATATATATGTACCTGAAACTAATGTATCGAATCTTCCAGTTTATGTAAGTTTCCATGGTGGAGCTTATCAGTATGGCCATGCAGAATTAAAAACTCCCGTAAATTTAATGAAGTACAGGGAAATTATAGTGGTTTCATTCAACTATCGGGTTGGACCTTTAGGAATGCTTTGTCTTGGAACCGAGGATGTACCTGGTAATGCTGGATTAAAAGATCAAATAGCGTTACTTCGTTGGGTGCAAAAGAATATTGCAGCTTTTGGAGGAGATCCTCACGAGGTCACCATAGGAGGCTGCAGTGCTGGTGGATCTTCCGTTGATATCTTATCAGTTTCTAAACTAATTAATGGATTATTTAACAAAGTGATAACACAAAGTGGTCCTAATACTGCTTCGTTTAGTGTGCAAGTAGATCCGATAGCTAATGCTAAAATGATTGCAAGAGAACTAAATTTTGAAAATGTTGATGATTTAGAAGCTTTGGAACATTTTTATAAAACAACCCCTGTATCAGTTTTATCTTCTATTCCTCTCTCTAATAGAACTGATTCATCTGTTATTTTCGCTCCATGCGTTGAGCGGGATATTGGGCAAGAAATGGTTCTTAATGACTATCCAGCTAGGATTTTAGCAAAAGGTGACTACTTCAAATTACCGATGTTATACGGAATGACTAATATGGAAGGTATTTACCGTGTATCGTTTTTCGATCATTGGAAGGATTTAATGAATCAGAACTTCTCACAATTTCTTCCTGATAATTTGTTTTTTGAGAATGAAAAAGATAAAATGAAAGTTATTCGAAAATTAAAACACTTTTATTTTGGAAATGACCCAGTATCAGAGAAAAATATTATGGGCTTCGTGAAATACATTTCCGATGTAATGTTTTCATATGGAACTGCTTTGACTGCGAGATTACATAACGAAGCGGGAAACAAAGAAGTATATTTGTACGAATATTCATTTGTAGACAAGGACCAAGATTACATCCCTTACACAGAAATACGCGGTGCTACCCATTGTTCCCAAAATACTGCTTTTATGGATCTAGGAGATGAAAACGAATTATCTGAAGAATATAAGCAGATGAAGTCCATAATTAGGAATATGTGGTTGAATTTTATAAAAACTGGGTAAATAATAACAAATGACATTATTATTACGTCATAATTCTACTAGATAATTTAAACCATTATTAATTATTTACAGGAAACCAGTACCAGAGAATTCTTCTTATCCACCGTGGCCACCTGTCAGTTCTGGAGCAGCTCCCTACATGTCACTGAATACTACGCCTAAATTAATAAAAAAAGATTTATTAAAAGAACGTTCCAAGCTGTGGGATGAAATCTATAAAAAACACTTTAAACATCCAATTCCTCCCACACCGTAATTTTTATTATTAAATTTGTTTATTATATAATTATTTTGTCATTCTTTTTGTTTTGAAAGTTATATGCTTGTGATCTTTAATGATATAATTGTAAATTATGCCTCCTGATTAATGCCTTACTCGTGAAAGACTTTTTTTAATTATTGAGCTAGTATGTCTTGTTAAGTTCAAAAACTGTGGACAAATTCTGAACATTTATTATTTCTTACTGGTAATGTTGCCAAAGACGGATAAATCTAATAATGTATAAATTACAGTAATCGTTGTCCTTTCTAACATTCTGACACGAAAACTAATTTATATTAATGAGCTGACTAAGCTGAACATTCAGGGATTACCTCCTCACTCGAGCTTTTTACTTGCTTTTGATAGTCCTAATAGTTGTTTTACTTAGATTTTATTTGAAAACAAAGTTGGATAAAGGAATATATATGAGACTCTTTTATATAATTAAAAAATATATATCATTAACTAATCGTTACTTTTTAAATATCCAAATAAAAATAGATTAAAATGTCATCATGTTACACAACTATAAATTCCTAAGTCAACTGTTTAAATTATTAATTTATGTAATAAGCTAACTTTTTGAACAAGGTTTTATTCCATATGTAGTTGACTTATGATGTTATAATTGTATAATGCAATTTCTACCACCAGTTTTAATTTTTTGGAACGATTCAATTCTGCTTGTTATAAAATGGGTACTGTAATCGGTGCTATTTTTTTAAAGTACTAATATTTTGTTGTTCTTCTTACCCTAAAAACATTCTTATGTCTGATATTTTCTCTTTTAATTTTTTATTGTAATCTTCAAAATGTTCTGTGTCAAGAAACAGTTTAAATAAACGACGCTAATTATTTGAGATATGTAGTTTGGTTCTACTCCATATAACATTGCATTAATTTTCCTTGAATAAGTATTATTTTGTTGTGGAACAATAAGTTCTCGAAGTAATTTAATATCTGAAAGTATAGATAGAGAATTATTCCGATGAGGTTTCAATTTACAAATCGAGATTTTCTCAAGAACGTCTCATAGGCTATGGAAGTTTATTATTAGAATTATTTTACAATAATGTAACATAAATCGTATATTATCCAGTAACAATTTTAAGAATGGACTCCAGTTCTCAGCTAATCAAAGAGGCATAAATACCAATATTTGTTTTTACCAAAAATTAAAATAAGTTAAATAAATATATTATATTTTCGAGAGTACTCATTTAAATGAAACTAAGATTTTCGTAAAATGAAAATGTTGATATGATATGATATAAATGTAATTTTTATCTCGTCTGGCTGTCACTGTTGCTGATGTGTATTTATTTTTGAAGCTGAGCGATTGCTACCTCAGAAACTTATTGACTTACTGTAGTTGGTTGTTCAAATATTCAAATTTATCTGATTTTAACATAATATGTAAGGATTGTTTTTATTTTAATAGGGTTTTTAATTTTAAATGCTGCAAGAAGTCTAATGTTATTCATAGTGATTGACCAAATTTTGTTATTAAAAAAACACTCGCAGTATTTGAGAACAGGTAGTGATTCCAATCGGTTTTTATTATCCGACTTTTTTTAATATTTTTCTATACCTTAGAGGTTCTAATAAATCTCTGCATGTTACTTATTCACCAAAAAAATGTGTAATGCATCCAGTCATCGTTTTTTGCTATTGAAATATAGAGTAAAAACTGATTAAAGTCGTAGGTAAATTCACAAGCCGCCGTATTTTTTCTTGTTAGGTACTATTTTATTTCTAAATTTCTTTTACTTTATCATTCACGTTGCTTATTTTTCCTATATGACATAGGGTTGCATAATGTAGAAGACTCGAAGTAAAATACTAGTTAAGATTTAAAAAAATGTGCATTGAGTACGTAAGCATACATACATATATTACCAACAAAGGTATATGTTTATAAAGATGTTATAATAAATTTGAAGTGGAAGCGTGTAATGCTAGCAGAATCCACTTTATTATTTGGGTACATGCGGTTCCCGCAACCTTCACAGTAAAGTTTTTATCAGAGGACTGCAGAAAATATCACTGTAGGAACGATCACTACCGGATTAAAACATGAGCACCGGATATATACGAATCTCCAAGCCTATTTGCGTGTCGGCTAGATAAGGTAAAGATCAAAGGATGATAAACTGAAAACGTGAGTGGGAGAGTAACACATGTACTTAGAGCACATATGACAATGTTGTCTCACAGTTGTACCACACAGTCATTAGATTTAAAGGTCGTTAGTCGTCATAGCTCCCTAACCTTCCTTTAACCTAATAACACGCTTTATGAATCACGTACGATTTTTTTACAAATGATCTTTTCCTTCATCAGGTGATATTAAAATAAAATTTCCTTTACGTTAGACTTATTGATTTTTATTTGAATATTCATAACGGTATTTTAACTTTCTCGAATTATAATAATTATAATCCTAAGTATACTTGATTTACTATGTTCAATTATTTAATGATAGGCTGCCCATCCAAAAAAAGATAGTATAAAGTAGTGTGTAGTTCAATATATTTATATTGACAGAGTTTCATGGACGTTCTGAACTAAAAACCCATTATTCAAGTTGAGAGCCGAAAACTGTTTAGCATTTGTCGATACCAAGTACGAAATAAAACAAAGCAACGAATATGCGATTAACGTGTGCCATCAAGGTCTTTCTAGAAAGCTTTTTAAGGGCTATATTTTGCATGAAAATATCTTTTGATAGTTTTATTTTATTTTATTTTATTTTGAACGGTTCACACAACAGATTACAACTAAATATGCGAATAATTAATGAGCAAACATTATAAATGAGCTGAGTTGCAATCCAACAATTATGCGAACACAGATTATATACAAAGTATCTCACTTATAAAAAAAGAAAAAAAACCCCTCCGCACTCAAAAATACGTAACACAACACACTTACAAATGAAAAATAATGAAAAATAAAAAATAAACAAATAATATAGATTCGATCACTATTCCTGGCTGTTAACCGAAACCAATCGTTTTTTAAATAGCTTTAGGTTTCTGTTGAAAACGTCGATACCATCCAACCCGTCGTCCTCAAGAGAGACCCTATTGTAAGCGCGACACATACGTCCGATAGGATTGTGATACGAGATATTGTTATTATAAACATCCAGGGTAAATGTTCTGGGGTGTCGGAATTTAAAGTTGATGCTTATATTTATGGAGCCTAGAAGCGTGGGTGAATCAACGACACCGTGAATAATTTTGTGCAAATACACTAAGCTGTTACAATTGCGACGCATTTCAAGCGTTTGCAGTCCGAAACGGTTGAGCCTGTCGTTGTAGCTTTCGAGTGTACGTCCGTACCGATGGCGAGAACTAAGCAATCGCAAGAACCTCCTCTGTACTGCCTCGACCTTATCACAGTGCATGGTGTAGTTGGGTGACCATATGACCGAGTTGTATTCCAAAACGCTGCGAGCCATGGTACAGTATAGATGTATGGAAGTTTTTGGGCTCTTAAAACTTCTAGTGCTCCTGCTTATGAATCCGCACAATCTGTTACCCTTGTTAATAATGTAGTCATAATGGTCCCTAAATGTGAGTTTATCGTCAAATATCACGCCTAGGTCTTTCGCGGTGGATTTGCGTGAAAGTATTTTTTCGTTTAATGTGTAATCAAAAAGTATTTTTTTCGATCTTTTCAGTGTAAAGCTTATTACAAAGCACTTTTCTGTATTTAACGTCATATGATTATTAGAGCACCATTTAGAAACAGCATCTAAGTCCTTCTGAAGAGATGTAGCGTCGTTAGTGTTGTTAATCGAGGAATACATTTTGAGATCATCAGCGTATAGTAAAAATTGACAAGACAAGTTCTTAGCTAGATCATTAATAAATAATATAAAAAATAATGGTCCAAGGTTCGATCCCTGTGGTACCCCAGATGTAATTGTAGCCGGGGAAGAAGTGTACCCTTTGATTGCAACTAATTGAGTTCTCCTGTTTAAATATGATTCTACCCATCTTAGTAAGGAGCCATGGATTCCGTATGCTTTAAGTTTGCGACAGAGCAAAATATGGTTTACCTTGTCAAATGCTTTTGAAAAGTCAGTGTAAATCGAGTCCGTTTGTCCACTTTTCGCGAAAGTGTTACAAATGTAGTTCTAATACTCTAATAAATTTGTTGTAGTGGAACGGTTTTTTATAAAACCATGCTATTTTTCAGAGAGTACTGGATATACATGATGATAAATTTTGTCGTATACGATAGATTCCAAGATTTTGGAGAAACATGATAAAATACTGATAGGTCGGTAATTTTCGCAATGCGAACGGTCGCCAGATTTATGAATAGGAATAATATAGGCTGTTTTCCAATATTTGGGGAAGATACCGTTGTTCAGGGACATGTTGAACAGAATAGCCAGTGGAGCACTAAGTTCTTGAGCACATGATTTTATGAAAGAAGGTGGTATCCCGTCAGGGCCTGCACCCTTATGTTGATCTAGATGCCTGATTTTTTTGCATATTTCATTTTTAGAGATAGAGAAGTTACTTAGGGTATCATTACTGTAGTCGACCGCCTCAGGGTTGTATAGGCCTTTTAAATTGGAAGAACTAAATACTGAACTAAAATAATCTGAAAATAATTCGCAAGCATCCTGGGCGTTCTTTGAAATTTTATTCGCATATTTTACAGCTTCCGGTATTGAGTTAATTTTGGAACCTTTTTTATCATTTATGAATCGATAGAAAATCTTTGAGTTAATATGTGTTGAGTCTTCCACCGAACACACGAAATCGTCGTAACATTTGTCTATAAGGTTCTTGCTTCTTTTACGTAGTAAAGAAAAAGTATCGTAGTCACGCGGATTATTTTAATTAGTTTGCAAACTTTGGCAGAGTAATGTATTTTTTTGTGGAAAAACCACTATTTTCCTTTCATTATTTTAAGTATCATCACGAGCCGTCATGTTTATTAAATAAGTTTACAGTTACATGTCATTTTTTATCAGTGTATTGAATTTAAATAATATCTTCAAATTGACGACTTCATTGTTGGTCTTTTAAGATCTTTAGATAATATGACGATATCTACCTACCGATAAATTGATTTCTTATTTTCAAAACATTTATGTTTTTTTATAAATTTCTGTATCAACGATAACCTATTTTTTTTATTTCGGTAAAAAATAGGTTGATTTTTTTAAATTTAATGTATGCCGGACATTTCTTTTCTTTGTTATAGGGTTATTTAAAACCAAATGTCGTTATCATTTTTTTAAATAATTATTTCAAATGATTAGTTACCAAAGCATGTTCTGATAGATATACTTAGAAACAAAAAACATTCACAATTACACTATCAGTTTCCTCTTAATTTAATTACCTAGATAAGTTCATTATTGAATAATATTATTTTTAATTAAGTATCTTATTAAAAATATTCCATAATTTTGTTGTGATATTTCTACCGGATTACAGAATATGAAAAATAAACTGAAAAATATTCAGCTACACGAAGATTGAGATAAATAATTTTGTTTTCAACTTCAATTGGTACCTGAAGCTATCAAGTGATAATGAGACACTCTTGAATGGTTCAATAATAAATTATTAAAATATTGCAATTATTACACTATCAATTTCAATTACAGCATTAGGTTATACATAGAGACGCTTTAAATATTGTTAATCTGCAAAATGAAATTATTATATCGTAATTGTGGTTCAACAATCTAGGAACTTTGTTTCTTACAGCAGCAAGAAGTAATTAGTAAACTACAAAGTTAAAGTGCCAAGCAATTTGGAATAAGTGGATAGAAATTTTATTGAATTAAAATAAGTCGAAATAAATTACTACGGAACCTTAGTATTTTATTCGTATTTTAAATACGGATATCATAATATTACTAACATTATATAAGAATGGACGTAATTTTATACTTCATTATTTAGTATGTTACTACAAGGTTTAGTCGTGTGCGCTTACGCGCTATTTATTTTAGTAAAATGTCAAGAATCTCGTATTGTTAACATAGATCAAGGACCCGTGAGAGGATATAAGTCTGAAGATGGAAACTACTTTGGGTTTTTTGGCATACCGTTTGCCACCGCACCTAAAGGGGTTCATAGGTTTAAGGTGGGTTTTAAAATATTTTTTCATATTTTATATATTTTTGACTCACTGATGCCGTTCCTATACATGGACCGTATACAAAGAATATATATATGTTGTATTGTTGTGATAATATATTTAATGAATGAATAATTTATTAATTTTAATGAGGCATCTATTTAATATGATTTAAAAAATAAACCATTCTTGAATATATGTATTTACGAGATAATGTAAATCACGATATTTATTCTCTTATTTGTCAAGCTAGGTTTATTTTTTTAAAGTGAGAACATCCGTGTTGTATGTAGTTTAGAAATATAATATAAGCAATACAATTTACAAAAAAAATTGTGCCTTGAGATATTTATTTTAAAATTATATTTTTAAGAATTTTTTTAAACAGGCACCTCTTCCTCCACCAAGTTGGAAAGAACCACTGGAAGCAGTTAATTTAAACGTAGCATGCCCACAGAACGACTTAGACAATCAGAGCACATTTCTTACAAAGCAAGAAGATTGTTTGATCGCAAATATATATGTACCTGAAACTAATGTATCGAATCTTCCAGTTTATGTAAGTTTCCATGGTGGAGCTTATCAGTATGGCCATGGAGAATTCAAAACTCCCGTAAATTTAATGAAGTACAGGGAAATTATAGTGGTTTCATTCAACTATCGGATTGGACCTTTAGGAATGCTTTGTCTTGGAACCGAGGATGTACCTGGTAATGCTGGATTAAAAGATCAAATAGCGTTACTTCGTTGGGTGCAAAAGAATATTGCAGCTTTTGGAGGAGATCCTCACGAGGTCACCATAGGAGGCTGCAGTGCTGGTGGATCTTCCGTTGATATCTTATCAGTTTCTAAACTAATTAATGGATTATTTAACAAAGTGATAACACAAAGTGGTCCTAATACTGCTCCGCCTAGTGTGCAAGTAGATCCGATAGCTAATGCTAAAATGATTGCAAGAGAACTAAATTTTGAAAATGTTGATGACCTAGAAGCTTTGGAACATTTTTATAAAACAACCCCTTTGTCAGTTTTAATGTCTATTTATGTCTCTAATAGAACTGATTCATCTGTTATTTTCGCTCCATGCGTTGAGCGGGATATTGGGCAAGAAATGGTTCTTCATGACTATCCAGCTAGGATTTTAGCAAAAGGTGACTACTTCAAATTACCGATGTTATACGGAATGACTAATATGGAAGGTATTTACAGTGTACCGTCTTTCGAGAAGTGGAAGGATTTAATGAATCAGAACTTCTCACAATTTCTACCTGTTAATTTGTTTTTTGAGAATGAAAGAGATAAAGAGAAAGTAATTCGAAAATTAAAACACTTTTATTTTGGAAATGACCCAGTATCAGAGAAAAATATTATGGGCTTCGTGAAATACATGTCCGATGTATTGTTTTCATATGGAACTGCTTTGACTGCGAGATTACATAACGAAGCGGGAAACAAAGAAGTATATTTGTACGAATATTCATTTGTAGACAAGGACCAAGATTACATCCCTTACACAGAAATACGTGGTGCTACTCATTGTGCTCAAAATGCTGCTATTATGGATTTAGGAGATGAAAACGACTTATCTGAAGAATACAAGCAGATGAAGTCCATAATTAGGAACATGTTCTTGAATTTTATAAAAACCGGGTAAATAATGACAAATGACATTATTATTACGTCATAGGTGTACTATGTAGATAATTTAAACCATTATTAATTATTTACAGGAAACCAGTACCAGAGAATTCTTCTTATCCACCGTGGCCACCTGTCAGTTCTGGAGCAGCTCCCTACATGTCACTGAATACTACGCCTAAATTAATAAAAAAAGATTTATTAAAAGAACGTTCCAAGCTGTGGGATGAAATCTATAAAAATCACTTTAAACATCCAATTCCTCCCACACCGTAATTTTTATTATTAAATTTGTTTATTATATAATTATTTTATCATTCTTTTTGTTTTGAAAGTTATATGCTTGTGATCTTTAATGATATAATTGTAAATTATGCTTCCTGATTTATGCCTTACTCATGAAATACTATTTTAAATTATTAAGTTAGTATGTCTTGTTAAGTTCAAAAACTGTGGACAAATTCTGAACATTTATCATTTCTTACTGGTAATGTTGCCAAAGATGGATAAATCTAATCATGTATAAATTACAGTAATCGTTGTCCTTTCTAACATTCTGACACGAAAACTAATTTATATTAATGAGCTGACTAAGCTGAACATTCAGGGATTACCTCCTCACTCGAGCTTTTTACTTGCTTTTGATAGTCCTAATAGTTGTTTTACTTAGATTTTATTTGAAAACAAAGTTAGATAAAGGAATATATATGAGACTCTTTTATATAATTAAAAAATATATATCATTAACTCATCGTTATTTTTTAAATATCCAAATAAAAATAGATTAAAATGTCATCATGTTACACAACTATAAATTCCTAAGTCAACTATTTAAATTATTAATTTATGTAATAAGCTAACTTTTTGAACAAGGTTTTACTCCATATGTAGTTGACTTATGATGTTATAATTGTATAATGCAATTTCTACCACCAGTTTAAATTTTTTGGAACGATTCAATTCTGCTTGTTTTAAAATGGGTACTGTAATCGGTGCTATTTTTTTAAAGTACCAATATTTTGTTGTTCTTCTTACCCTAAAAACATTCTTATGTCTGATATTTTCTCTTTTAATTTTTTATTGTAATCTTCAAAATGTTCTGTGTCAAGAAACAGTTTAAATAAACGACGCTAATTATTTGAGATATGTAGTTTGGTTCTACTCCATATAACATTGCATTAATTTTCCTTGAATAAGTATTATTTTGTTGTGGAACAATAAGTTCTCGAAGTAATTTAATATCTGAAAGTATAGATAGAGAATTATTCCGATGAGGTTTCAATTTACAAATCGAGATTTTCTCAAGAACGTCTCATAGGCTATGGAAGTTTATTATTAGAATTATTTTACAATAATGTAACATAAATCGTATATTATCCAGTAACAATTTTAAGAATGGACTCCAGTTCTCAGCTAATCAAAGAGGCATAAATACCAATATTTGTTTTTACCAAAAATTAAAATAAGTTAAATAAATATATTATATTTTCGAGAGTACTCATTTAAATGAAACTAAGATTTTCGTAAAATGAAAATGTTGATATGATATGATATAAATGTAATTTTTATCTCGTCTGGCTGTCACTGTTGCTGATGTGTATTTATTTTTGAAGCTGAGCGATTGCTACCTCAGAAACTTATTGACTTACTGTAGTTGGTTGTTCAAATATTCAAATTTATCTGATTTTAACATAATATGTAAGGATAGTTTTTATTTTAATAGGGTTTTTAATTTTAAATGCTGCAAGAAGTCTAATGTTATTCATAGTGATCGACCAAATTTTGTTATTAAAAAAACACTCGCAGTATTTGAGAACAGGTAGTGATTCCAATCGGTTTTTATTATCCGACTTTTTTTAATATTTTTCTATACCTTAGAGGTTCTAATAAATCTCTGCATGTTACTTATTCACCAAAAAAATGTGTAATGCATCCAGTCATCTTTTTTTGCTATTGAAATATAGAGTAAAAACTGATTAAAGTCGTAGGTAAATTCACAAGCCGCCGTATTTTTTCTTGTTAGGTACTATTTTATTTCTAAATTTCTTTTACTTTATCATTCACGTTGCTTATTTTTCCTATATGACATAGGGTTGCATAATGTAGAAGACTCGAAGTAAAATACTAGTTAAGATTTAAAAAAATGTGCATTGAGTACGTAAGCATACATACATATATTACCAACAAAGGTATATGTTTATAAAGATGTTATAATAAATTTGAAGTGGAAGCGTGTAATGCTAGCAGAATCCACTTTATTATTTGGGTACATGCGGTTCCCGCAACCTTCACAGCAAAGTTTTTATCAGAGGACTGCAGACAATATCACTGTAGGAACGATCACTACCGGATTAAAACATGAGCGACCGGACATATACGAATCTCCAAGCCTATTTGCGTGTCGGCTAGATAAGGTAAAGATCCAAGGATGATAAACTGAAAACGTGAGTGGGAGAGTAACATACTTAGAGCACATATGACAATGTTGTCTCACAGTTGTACCACACAGTCATTAGATTTAAAGGTCGTTAGTCGTCATAGCTCCCTAACCTTCCTTTAACCTAATAACACGCTTTATGAATCACGTACGATTTTTTTACAAATGATCTTTTTCTTCATCAGGTGGTATTAAAATAAAATTTCCTTTACGTTAGACTTATTGATTTTAATTTGAATATTCATAACGGTATTTTAACTTTCTCGAATTATAATAATTATAATCCTAAGTATACTTGATTTACTGTGACCAATTATTTAATGATAGGCTGCCCATCCAAAAATATAGTATAAAGTAGTATGTAGTTCAATATATTTATATTGACAGAGTTTCATGAACGTTCTGAACTAAAAACCCATTATTCAAGTTGAGAGCCGAAAACTGTTTAGCATTTGTCGATACCAAGTACGAAATAAAACAAAGCAACGAATATGCGATTAACGTGTGCCATCAAGGTCTTTCTAGAAAGCTTTTTAAGGGCTATATTTTGCATGAAAATATCTTTTGATAGTTTGCAAACTTTGGCAGAGTAATGTATTTTTTTGTGGAAAAACCACTATTTACCTTTCATTATTTTAAGTATCATCATGAGCCGTCATGTTTATTAAATAAGTTTACAGTTACATGTCATTTTTTATCAGTGTATTGAATTTAAATAATATCTTCAAATTGACGACTTCATTGTTGGTCTGTTAAGATCTTTAGATAATATGACGATATCTACCTACCGATAAATTGATTTCTTATTTTCAAAACATTTATGTTTTTTTTATAAATTTCTGTATCAGTGATAACCTATTTTTTTTTACTTCGGTACTAAAAAGGTTGATTTTTTTTAATTTAATGTATGCCGGACATTTCTTTTCTTTGTTATAGGGTTATTTAAAACAAAATGCCGTTATCATTTAAAAAAAAAAACATTTCAAATGATTAGTTACCAAAGCATGTTCCGATAGATATACTTAGAAACAAAAAAACATTCACAATTACACTATCAGTTTCCTCTTAATTTAATTACCTAGATAAGTTCATAATTGAATAATATTATTTTTAATTACGTATCTTATTAAAAATATTCCATAATTTTGTTGTGATATTTCTATCGGATTACAGAATATGAAAAATAAACTGAAAAATATTCAGCTACACGAAGATTGAGATAAATAATTTTGTTTTTCAACTTCAATTGGTACCTGAAGCTATCAAGTGATAATGGGACACTCTTGAATGGTTCAATAATTACTTATTAAAATATTGCAATTATTACACTATCAATTTCAATTACAGCATTAGGTTAAACATAGAGACGCTTTAAATATTGTTAATCTGCAAAATGAAATTATTATATCGTAATTTTGTTTCAACAATCTAGGAACTTTGTTTCTTATAGCAGCAAGAAGTAATTAGTAAACTACAAAATTAAAGTGCCAAGCAATTTGGAATAAGTGGGTAGAAATTTTATTGAATTAAAATAAGTCGAAATAAATTACTACGGAACCTTAGTATTTTATTCGTATTTTAAATACGGATGTCATAATATTACTAACATTATATAAGAATGGACGTAATTTTATACTTCATTATTTAGTATGTTACTACAAGGTTTAGTCGTGTGCGCTTACGCGCTATTTATTTTAGTAAAATGTCAAGAATCTCGTATTGTTAACATAGATCAAGGACCCGTGAGAGGATATAAGTCTGAAGATGGAAACTACTTTGGGTTTTTTGGCATACCGTTTGCCACCGCACCTAAAGGGGTTCATAGGTTTAAGGTAAGTTTTTAAATATTTTCTCTTGTTTCATAAATTTTCAGTTCACGATTATGTAAATAAAATGTAAGTGTGATTTTAACCAAATAGTAGTTAGCAAAGACAATATAATTTTATTTAACACTAGAAGAACCGGCGAACTTCGTATCGCCCTATAATCAAGAAATATCTGTTACGTTTTTTTATTTATACTTTGGAGTTTACCTATTAAAGTCATAAATCTCCGTGTTTTGACGTGCGACAGAATGATTGACATATTAGTTAGTTGTCAAATCTAATGTCAAAAATAAACGTTTGTATCAACAACTACGAATAAATTAAAAATTAATCAAAAAAATATTTTCCAGCGGACAAAATTGTGAATCTAAACCATTCCCAGATCTCCTTGAAGACACAAAAAATTTCATCAAAATCGGTCCAGTCGTTTGAGAGTAGTTCAGTGACATACACACTCACAGAAGAATTATATATATACATATAAAGATTCGTGAAAGTCATTTCATAAGGAGTTGTTACTTCAAACATTTCTTAAATTTATTCTTTTATATTATATTTTGAAGTTATACTTCTTTTGAAGATATGGATAAAAATTACGATATATTTTGAGTGCATTTATAGATTTGAGGTTAATTGTCGCTATGTTTGATTTATTAATTTATTAATGTAAATTAAAAACTACTATAAACTTTAGTTCAGAGACTTCTTAGCCACTGGTAAAAATTTTTTAATGACGATTTTAATCTTTTGATTAATAATGACTCTTCAGTTTCAACAACACGGAACCATTATTGATGGTGTATTTACAAGATACTTATCTACAGTTTCAACGAGACCGTTTATATCACATTTTAGCTACCACAAACCTCTTGTAACTCACGTGCCTCTTCATTCACTACTAGAAGAATCTACAAGTATAAAATAGTTTATTTAAAATATTCATTAATATATATTTTGATTCATTGCCTTAATGATTAATGGTTGTATATTTTAATTGTGTTGTCATATTTTTA